GCGAGCATAAAACAATAGGACTATTAATAAGGTGCGCTGGGCTACAGCAGGAGCCAGCAATTCTATCAGACTCAAAAAACAGAATTTTTGGGTCAAAGGGAACACTAATATGTACTACTTCTTCAATTGTACGTAATACTGCCTGCCAAAAAGACATTATAACAGGACCGGTCCAAAAAATATGAAAAAACTCCCCATCTTCATGAGAACAATGCCAGCATACTAGAGAAAAAGAGGGGTTTCATTCTATGTAACCGATACGGGGTAAAGTAAGCCCAGTATAAAATTTTAACTTGAATTTCCTTATCTCTGGCAGAAACTAGGGGAGAGAAGGGATAATCCCAAATCTCGGACCAATCTTCATCATCTAAATTAGGAATATTCGTCCTCCACTTCAAATGTAAAGATACCAATTCGGGTCTGGCCGCCACAAGAAGATATCTGTATAATACCGAAAGGGGTTTTTTCATGTGTGTTACACGAAGTACAGACTCCAAATCATAATAAGAAAGGGAAAATGGTCAAACAGGGAACTGACCTCTAAAGGCATGGGAGACCTGAAGGTATCTGAAGTAGGAATGTGGGGGCAAATTGAATTTAGCTTAAAGAGTGGGAAAAGAAAGGAGCTCGCCACAACCCGGAATGTGCTCCAAGGTTTTATTATGGTACTTAGCCCATAATTGGGGGAACGGAAGGGAGGCCAAATGAGGAAGAGCAGGATTTAACCACAGCAGGGTATGCGGGGAGCAAGTACTAGGGGGGAGAGATTCCAATCTAAGCCCTGCCTCCCAGGCCCAAAGGGTGGTACACATAGATGGGGTGAGACTATGTGGTGATCTGGGGCCCCTAAACACTAGAAATTGTAGAGCTTCCAGGGATTGTAGAATCGCTGCCTCTAAAACAATAGAAGTGTTGGAGAGGTCTGGCTGCATCCACCAGTGTACAGTAACCAGTTGCGCAAGGGAAACCCTATCCAACGCAACACTTCCTACAGATAGGCCCACTCCACTGTATCGAAGGCCTTCTCCATATCCAACATAGCAACAGTACAGGAGCCCCCATTCAGGTGAGTCATATGAATACTAGAGAACAGACAGTGAATATTAATATCCATGGATCTACCCGGCATAAAACCTGTCTGGTCCGAATCAATTACCGACGTGATCACCTTGTTCAGCCTAATAGAAAGAAGCTTAGTAAGGGTTTTAAAGTCACTATTGAGAAGCACGATGGGCCTATAAGAAGCGCAAAGTTTGTGGTCCTTACCTGATTTGTGAATCAACACAAATATGAGCCTCAGACATAGAGGGGGCAAGGAGCCAACTTGTAGGCAATCTTTATATAGGGACGTCAGGAAAGGGGGCTAAAAACTCAACGTGGGTCTTGTAAAAATCTATCGGAATACCATCAGGTCCCGGAGCTTTACCAATAGGGAAGAAGCCTACAACCGCGGAGACCACCTCCCCAGTAATATCTGAGACCAAGAAAGCACACTTAGAGTTGGAGAGCTAACCAAGGGCTAACGGGTCCCAACAGGGCGGCCAAGCCCAAAAGGTTAGGATCTGATTTGGTGGAGGAGGAATAAAGAGAGGTATAATAAGATTCCAATTCGTGCAATATATCTGCTTGGGAAGACACCATCCCCCCCACACCTGCGGTACAAAGTTCTGGAATTACAGTGAGAGGCCTATCATGCTGCAACATAATCGCCAATAACCTACTATTTTTATCCCCAAATTAAAAAAATTCCTGTCTGTGGGCCTGGACATCCAACCTAGTAATTTGGAGAAGTGTATATGCAGTTCTCAACGAGCCGAGGAGAGGAAGTCGTAATTATCTACAGTGGGGGTAGATGAGTAATTGGAGGAGGCTTCTGTCACCTTATCTTGCAGCTGAGACATAAGGATGGAGTTTTTGAACTTGATAGCAGAAACAGCAGAAATATATAGTCCCCTACTATGTGCTTACAGGCATCCCAGACCATGGCAGGAGAAGCTGACCCAGCATTATGCTCCCAGTGATCACGTAGCCCCGGCGGAATGCATTCCAAAGAGACAGCATGATGAATCCACTTGGGATGCAGTCTTCAAAGAGAACCATTATACGGTTGCCAAGACGGGAGTACTGATCGAAGGGGACTATGGTCCGATAAACCCACTGGGAGGTAGTTAGCCTCTTGTACATCACCAAGGAGGGAAGAATTAGCGAATGCTAAATCAATACGTGAGGCAGTCTTGTAAGATGAGGAAAAACAGGAATATGCCATATCTTGAGGATGAAGCCAACGCCACACCTCAGACATGTTAGCGGCCTGAGCTCAGATTGCCAGATCAGAGTTAAAGGATGCTGGGGGAACCGGTCTATCCAAGGACTGTGAGAGAATAGCATTGAAACCCCCCATAAATAAAATTTTTGCAGGGCAGTGTGGGGCCAGCTTCTCCAGCAAAAGTTAAAGAGGGGCCATTTGACTTGGTGGTGGTAGATACGTATTAACAATAATATATTTTTGGTTACAGAATGACACAACCAACATGACATAACCTCCATTAGGATCTATAGTAACCTCTTCAACCACACATGGAATTGATTTGACAGAAGAAGGGGACCAGTGCTGGAAACTCCTTGCTGGAAGGCGAATCAGACATCCAGGAAAAGTTGAGAACCAACTCCAGTGCATGTTAATAGCAGGAGAACAGAGTACTTACAGAAAGTTTGAAGAGTCGTGACTCAATGAGATTCTAGCCAGGTAACCACAGCAGCAGGGGTATCAAAGAAACGCGCAGTGCCTCTGTCCAGAACACGGAGTCTGCTTGGGTATAATAAGCTGTATTTCAGACTACAGTCACGTAGATGTTTCTGGATCTCTGTGAAGGAGCGACGCTGTTGTTGCACCTCTGAGGAGTAATCAGGATACAGAGAAATTTTGGCTTTTTCATAGAGAAGGTCAGGAGAATTGCATGCGGCCAACAACATCATATCACGATTCCGATAATTCAATAATTTAACTAGAAAAGGTCTTGGGGGGGCTCCCGGCGGCGGTGGAGCAGGATGGACTCTGTGGGCCCACTCTACCACAAACATAGAGGAAAGATGTTGGAGGCCCAGTAACTTAGGCAAGAAATGCTCCGCAAAGTCCACGGGTTTCAAGCCCTCGGCCTTCTCCGGAAGGCCTAGTATCCGCAGGTTATTCCAGCATAGCTGGTTCTCCGTGTCAATAGATTTAGCCTGAAGAGCTTTTACCTGCCCCTGGACAGCCCTAAGTTCTCTAGAATCCGTTTGGACCACATCCTCCATTTGAGATATGCGGGATTCCGCCCCAGAAAGCCTGGCGTGGTGCTTTTCCATATCATGTCGGATTAAACTGACATCTGTGGATAGAGAATCTATTTTTGAGGTTAAGGAGGTGATCGCCGTCAGGCGGTCCTCTGGCGATGGACCGGGATCCCCCAGGCCCTCCCAGGATGTCTGTGTGTCAGCTGATACTGCTGTGAGGGCCAGACTCATGTTCACGATGGCTGCCGGAGAAGAAGAGGTCGGGGGAACCACCGAGGGCCGGCCTGACCTACTTGCCGGGGGACATGCGGAGGAGGAGAACGGGGTGTTTTTGTAAAATGACAAAAACATTTATTTTATACAAAGTTGTCATTTCAATTATATATTGCTCACACAAGCCATGGTTACATGTGGAATTACACCCCAAAATACATTCTGCTACTTCTACTGAGTATGGGAATACCTGTCAGGAATGGACTGGCCAGCAATATTGGGACTCACCTGCCTTATGAGCTGCAGTACCAGGGCTGGCCAGCGGGTGCTCCCAGCAATCAGAGACTCAACCTTGCAGCCAGTCAAACACCTGGAACTAATTATACTGGTGTATTTAAGGGACATTCAGACCTGCAGACTGTGCCTTGGTGTTATGTTTTTCCTGGGCCCTGTATCCTGTTCCTGCTTCCTGTTCCTGCTTCCTGTTCCTGCTTCCTGTTTCTGTTCCTGTTCCTATTCCTGTTCCTGTCTTGTTGCTGACCCGGCCTGATCTATACCTCTGCTGACTTCTCCTGCTCTGACCCCGGCTCGTTCCTGACCATCCCTCTGCCTGACACTCTGTACCACGCTGCCCGCTACCTGCTGACCCTGGCTTGTGACCCCGACCATTCTCCGCTTGCTCCCCCTGTACCTACCTGCCCGATTGATATTGACCCGGCCTGCCTGACGACGCTCGCATTGTTTGTACTGTTATCTGTGGGTGGTTGGTTGGGTTTGTTTGCACTGTATTATGTTTAGTATTGCACTGCGTTTATGTTTGTATTGTTAGTGTTAATAAATCGTATTGTTTATATAACATATCTGAAGTCTGCGTTTCCCTGCGTCAGTCACACACCTCTGGTCATACCCGGGAGCCCTGACATTACACCAAGGCCAATCCTGACCAGAAGTGGCTGCACAGGGAAGCCATCTTGGTTTGTTGATGGGAAGGATGGATCTTGATGAGGTTGTGTATTTATATCTGCTAGTGTTTGATGACAGAGAGTATGCTTATCAAACTCTGAAGGAGTATCCCCAGGATGAACTGCTAGAATGTATACGGCTCGCTCATGTTCTAGTAGATCAGGGCACAGAATTCTCTGAGGTGCAGCCATTGATTCAGATTTGTGCGGAGTTGGTTTCATCTGGTTCCCCCCCCCGAATGCAGGGATGAATTTTTGCCGCCATTTAGTGCCGACCAGGTAGAGTCCCTGGTATGGTTATTAGAGGATGATGTGGATTGCTTCTTGGAGCATTATGCTGCATGTTCACCACAGGTACTAAGAGATTGTATAAACGCAGTGCAGTCATTGACCAGACAGGCTTTGTGTAAGCTCAGCTTTGTTCAACCCATACTGCAGACATGGACAGATTTGTTGCACCCAGCCTCAGTCAGCTTACAAAAACCCAGTCCTGCTTCTAATCTATTTCCTCAAAGCTCTATTCCTGCATTCCCAACAGCTCCTCCTGCCCTGCTATCTACCGCATGTCAGTACCCTGTTCCCACTCGCTGCACCTATCCTGCCTTTAACCCTGTAAAAAAGCCCTCTGTAGCAACTGCTCCCTCCCCTGTTCCATCCTCCAGCTCTTCTCTGTCTCCAGCTGTTCCATTCGTTTGCAGACCTGCGTTTACTTGCAGTGCTCCAGTAGTTAAAACCAGAGAAAAAAGCAAAAATTCTTTCCAACCAATACCATCCTGCCAGTATCCAAACCGGTGAACCTGCCTTCCGTGGTTCAGCCTGAAGCCTCTACTCAGCCTGAAGCCTCTACTCAGCCTGAAGCCTCTACTCAGCCTGATGCCTGTACGCAGCCTGATGCCTCTCTTCAGCCTGATGCCTCTACTCAGCCTGATGCCTCTACTCAGCCTGATGCCTCTACTCAGCCTGAAGCCTCTACTCAGCCTGAAGCCTCTACTCAGCCTGAAGCCTCTACTCAGCCTGATGCCTCTACTCAGCCTGATGCCTCTACTCAGCCGGATGCCTGCATTCAGCCTGATGCCTCTACCCAGAATGATGAACTGATCCAGCCTGACGATCCTATTAGGCCTGGTGACCCGATGCCCGCTGTTGAGCCAGACAATCCGGTACCTGATGACCCGGTGCCCGCTGTCATGCCAGTTGACTCAGAGCCCGCTGTCGTGCCTAGTGACTCGGTGCCCACTGCCTTGCCAGATGACGCAGGTGCCCGCTGGCGAGCTAAATGACCTGATGCCTGGTGACCCAGTGCCCGCTGTCATACCTGGTGACCCGATGCCCGCTGTTGAGCCGGACAATCCGGTACCTGATGACCCGGTGCCCGCTGTCGTGCCAATTGAGTCAGAGTCCACTGTCGTGCCTGGTGATTCGGTGCCCGCAGTCTTGCCAGACGACTCGATGCCCGCTGTTCCGCCATACGACTCGATGCCCGCTGTTCCGCCAGACGACTCGGTGCCCGCAGTCTTGCCAGACGACTCGGTGCCCGCAGTCTTGCCAGACGACTCGGTGCCCGCAGTCTTGCCAGACGACTCGGTGCCCGCTGTCCCGCCAGTTGACTCGGTGCCCGCAGTCTTGCCAGACGACTCGGTGCCCGCAGTCTTGCCAGACGACTCGGTGCCCGCTGTTCCGCCAGTTGACTCGATGCCCGCAGTCTTGCCAGACGACTCGGTGCCCGCAGTCTTGCCAGACGACTCGGTGCCCGCAGTCTTGCCAGACGACTCGGTGCCCGCAGTCTTGCCAGACGACTCGGTGCCCGCAGTCTTGCCAGACGACTCGGTGCCCGCTGTTCCGCCAGTTGACTCGATGCCCGCTGTTCCGCCAGACGACTCGGTGCCCGCAGTCTTGCCAGACGACTCGGTGCCCGCAGTCTTGCCAGACGACTTGGTGCCCGCAGTCTTGCCAGACAACTCGGTGCCCGCAGTCTTGCCAGACGACTCGGTGCCCGCAGTCTTGCCAGACGACTCGGTGCCCGCTGTTCCGCCAGTTGACTCGATGCCCGCGCTGTTCCGTCAGGTCACTCGGTGCCCGCAGTCTTGCCAGACGACTTGGTGCCCGCAGTCTTGCCAGACGACTCGAAGCCCGCTGTTCCGCCAGTTGGCTCGGTGCCCGCAGTCTTGCCAGTTGACTCGGTGCCCGCAGTCTTGCCAGTTGACTCGGAGCCCACTGTCGTGCCTGGTGACTCGGTGCCCGCCGCTCCGCCTGGGGGCCCGAGACCTGTCGCTCCGCCTGGGGGTCCGGCGCCCGCCGCTCCGCCTGGGGGCCCAAGACCTGTCGCTCTGCCTGGGGGCCCGGCACCCGCCGCTCCGCCTGGGGGCCCGGCGCCCGCCGCTCCACCTGGGGGCCCGATGCCTGTCGCCCCTCCTGGGGGCCCGATGCCTGTCGCCCCGTCTGGGGGCCCGATGCCTGTCGCCCCTCCTGGGGGCCCGGCGCCCGCCGCTCCGCTTGGGGGCCCGATGCCTGTCGCCCCGCCGGGGCGTTATACGCCAAGGCAGATAAGTGTTGCTTTGAGCAACCTAGCATTACGTTCCTGGGGTTGATTATCTCCACCGCGGGGGTCGCAATGGACCCTCAGAAAGTCTCGGCGATTTTGGAGTGGCCGGTACCCGCGGACAAGAAGGGCGTCCAGCGGTTTATCGGTTTTGCGAATTTCTACCGGAAGTTCATTAAGAACTTCTCGGGTCTGGTCTCCCCCATAACTCAGTTGACCAAGCTTGGAACCCGGTTCAGATGGACGCTGGAGGCTCAGGAAGCCTTTGAGGCCTTGAAGAAACTCTTTACCTCGGCACCCATTCTGGGCCACCCGGACGCTGCCCTGCCATACATCTTGGAAGTAGACGCTTCAGAGAATGCGGTGGGGTCCATCCTGTCCCAGCGAAAGGGCACCAAAGAGTTGCTCCATCCTGTAGCGTTCTTCTCAAGGAAACTTACCCCAGCAGAAAAGAACTACGATATCGGCGATCGAGAGTTGTTGGCCATCAAAAACAGCTCTCGAAGAATGGAAGGTGCCTCGCACCCCATCTTGATCTTCACTGATCACAAGAATCTCGAGTACCTAAGGACCGCCAAACGCTTACGCCCACGGCAGGCAAGATGGGCATTGTTCTTCTCCAGGTTCATTTTTCACATCACGTATAGGCCCGGATCTAAAAATATGAAACCTGATGCACTATCTCGCATGTTTGAAGACTCCAAAGAAGATCCGGTACCTGATACGATTCTGTCTGCAGGAAATTTCTTGGCGCTCCAGACGGACCTTCGGTCCAAACTATTGGAGGCATCCACGGCCGCGTCAGTCCCAGTTGGTGTGTCCCTCCAGAACAAGGGGGGACTCCTATGGAAGGATGGGGGTTGGTCATGGTCCCTGAAGAGGTCCGGACCCTTGTCCTGGGACATTGCCATGACCACCCGATGGCGGGACACTTTGGCCCAGCCAAGACCCTGGAGCTTCTCCAACGCTCTTTTTGGTGGCCAAGTATGGCCAAGGATTGTAAACTCTATGTAAGATCCTGTACCGTCTGCCAGAAAAACAAGCCATCGAGGAACAAGGCTTGGGGACTGCTGCGTCCCTTGCCGATTCCTGAACGACCGTGGCAAGGGATCGCAATGGACTTTATAGTCGAGCTCCCACCGTCCCAAGAACACACCGCGATCTTCGTGGTCATCGATCGATTATCGAAAATGGCTCACTTTGTACCATTGAGGAGGACTCCGTCTGCGTCCGAGACTGCGCGAATATTCATCCAGGAAATCGTAAGGTTACATGGAATCCCGGAGGACATCGTCTCGGATCGCGGGGTCCAATTTACATCTAGATTTTGGAGGGCCCTGTGCAAGGCCCTGGATATCAAGTTGTCCCTCTCCTCTGCTTTCCACCCTCAGACCAACGGACAGACCGAGAGGACAAACCAGACCCTAGAACAATACTTGCGTTGCTACACATCCTTCCTTCAAGATAATTGGTTACCACTGTTACCTTTAGCGGAATTTGCATATAACAACGCAAGCCATTCAGCGACAGGGCAATCTCCGTTCTTCTCTAATTACGGATTTCACCCTGTCTTTCTTCCTGATTTGGTCTCTGAGTGCCCAGTTCCGGCAACGCAAGACGCATTAAACTTCTTCTCCTCGAACAACAAAGTACTACAGGAAGCCATCGCTCGGGCCCAGGAGGATAACAAGAATGCATATAACAAGAAACGAAGAGGGAATCTGGTGCTGAAGCCTGGGGATAAGGTCTGGTTGGCAACAACCAACTTGAGAATGCTTTGTCCCTCAAAGAAATTGGGACCTAAATTCGTGGGGCCTTTTTGTGTGAAGCGAATGGTCAACGAGGTGGCATATGAACTTACCCTCCCTGAAACATTCAGAATTCATCCTGTTTTCCACGTGTCCTTACTTAAACCTGTGATCCCGGATGCCTTCCCAGAACGTGAATCCAGACCTCCGGAGGCCATAACGGTGGAGGGACAAGAAGAATATGAGGTGGAAACGATCCTGAAGTGCCGAAGAAGGGGGGGCAGACCCAATTTCTTATAAAATGGAAGGGCTATGGCCCCGAGGACAATTCTTGGGAACCAGCCCATAATGTCCATGCACCCAGACTTGTCCGGCGGTTTCTTCGTGACCACCCGTGGTGGAGAGATCGGGTGGGCATCCGGAGGTTGCCCGTAGGGGGGGGGGCAATGTCAGGGATCCCCTCGATCCCCGCCGCGATGGTCCCGGCGCAGGCGCAGAATGCCGCCCTGTGCAGGGATGCGGGCTCTAGGTCCGGGCCGGCCGCGGCGCGTGAGTTCGCGCATGCGCAATAGGAGCCGCGGCCGCCCGCTGGGCACCAATGGCAGCGCAGGGCGCGATATTTAAACGGCCCTGAGCTGTCATTCAGTGCCTTCTGGTCTTGTCCTTGCCCTGTATCCTGTATCCTGTATCTGAACCTGAACCTGTAAGTTGCTGACCCGGATTGTACCTGACCACTGCTGAATTCTCCTGCCCAGACCCTTGCTTTGCCTGACCTCTCTTCCGTATGTCCCCTATTGGATTTGACCTACTGTTGATGACCTGGCGTGTGACCCGACTATTCTCTGCCCGCTGCCTTGTACTGTGCTGTCCTCCCCGTTACCGACCCGGCTTGCCTGACTCTGCACTTGCTCATCCATCCATCCATCCATCCATCCATTCCTCTCAGCGGGGTTCCCAGACCTCCTCATATCAGGCTCTCTCCCGTGGGAGCCCCTGGCGACCACCCCTACCACTGACGGGTGCCCTCAGTAAGCACGACCTGGTCCCGGGGTACTCCAAGTCCATCCCCACCATCAGGGGCTCTGGTGAACAAGTACTCTGGGACTTAGACTCCGTGCGCTGGGGACGCCTGATTAGTGGAGTGCTAGTGGTGTCACCAGGCGGTCCCTTACACCATCCCTCTGCCTGACACTCTGTACCACGCTGCCCGCTACCTGCTGACCCTGGCTTGTGACCCCGACCATTCTCCGCTTGCTCCCCCTGTACCTACCTGCCCGATTGATATTGACCCGGCCTGCCTGACGACGCTCGCATTGTTTGTACTGTTATCTGTGGGTGGTTGGTTGGGTTTGTTTGCACTGTATTATGTTTAGTATTGCACTGCGTTTATGTTTGTATTGTTAGTGTTAATAAATCGTATTGTTTATAACATATCTGAAGTCTGCGTTTCCCTGCGTCAGTCACACACCTCTGGTCATACCCGGGAGCCCTGACAATACCACATGTGTGAGACTTTTTGGGAGCCTAGCCACATACAGTAGCCTGAAATCCAATGACCACTTTGAAAGCCTGAAGGTCCGTAACTTCCTCATTTCACTTCCTTAGTACCTATCACCTAAAATGCCAGGATAGCACCAACCCCCCCCCCCCCCCCCCAAATGACCCCTTTTTGGAAAGTAGACACCCCAAGGAATTTAAAAAGAGGCATGGTGAGTATTTTGCAGATCTAATTCCTTCCCACAAGGTTTTGAAATATAAAACAAGAAAAGAAAAAATATGTTTTTTTGTTTTTCTTTCTTCGTTTTTCAAAAACTTGTGGCAACAAACGAGGTCTGCAAAATACTCACCATGCTTCTTATCAAATTCCTTAGGGTGTCTACTTTCCAAAAAGGAGTCATTTGGGGGGGGGGTTTGGTGCTATCCTGGCATTTCATGGCCTCCGAAACTGTGATAGGTAGTCAGGTAGTCAGGAAGTGTAATGAGGAAATAAAGCCCTTTAAAAGCCTACAGGTGCTTATTGGATTTTGGGGTCCTGTACTTGGCTAGACTGCCAAAAAGTCTCTCACATATGGTACCCCCATACTTGGGAGCAGAATGTATTTTGGGGAGTATTTCCACATAAACCCATGGCATGTGTGAGCAATAAATCATTTAAATGACAATTTTGTGTAAAAAAAAAAAGAAAATGTATTTTTTTTGTCATTTTCCAAAAACTTGTGGTAGAAAAAAACAATTCTTCTATTGACTCAACATGCTTCTCAGCAAATAGTTTGGGGTGTCTACTTTCCAGAAAGGGGTCGTTTTTGGGGGTGGGGCCATTTTATGCGCAGCATTAGAAGTTTTATGCCAAACATCATTCACTTTTCTAACCACCTGAAGACCAAGCCTTTTCTGACACTGTTCATGATGAAAAAAAAATCAGTATTTTTTGCTAGAAAATTACTTTGAACCCCACCAAACATTATATATTTTTTTAAAGCAGACATCTTAGTGAATAAAATTGTGGGTGCTGCAATTTTTTATGCCACATTGTACTCGCACAGCGATTTTTCAAACACAATTTTTAAAAAAAAAATACACTTTTTTTACTTGTAATGCACAAAAACACAATATATTGGCTAATTATTTGACACAATATAAAATATAATGGTATGCCAAATAAATAGATACCAAACATGACATGCTTGAAAACTGTGCATGCCCCGTGCAATAGCGGTAACTGCATACATTTTTAATATCCATAGGCAACACTTTAAAAGCCTTTACAAGGTACCATTTTAGATTTATGGAAGAGGTCTAGTGCTAAAATGACTGCCCTTGATCTGAAGTTCGTGGCGATAGTTTACAACATTGGTGCAACCGCTGTTTACATACCGGCACAGGGTCAGCGCTCGCGTATGCAGGTGCGCGCCCTGGGAGGGGGGGGGTTTGGGCAAGGGTGCTTTTTTTTTTCTTTAAGTTATTTTGATTTTTTTAATTATTTTTACACGGTTCCTTTAATTTTTTTTCTTATCACTTTTAATGCTATTACAGGGAATGCAAATATCCCGTATATCTTCAATGGACATTGTCATATATTCTTTTTTGAAAAATCTGGGGTCTATCAGACTCTAGATATCTCCTCTGCCCTTACATTATCTAATCTCACCAAGATCGGTGTGATCAGATACTTTCCCAATTTACAAATGGCGCTG